ATGCATTTCAGTAAATTACATTTACCCTCTTGATTAACGCATAATCTTGTATTCATCACAGATGTCTTTGGTATTGTTCAGTTTCTTTAAGTGTTTCCTGTTAATCACTTACATTAATAATGATGACTGACTACAAACTATAAGAGTCAGTTATCAGAAGCATGTAAATAGGATGCTATAGTTAAAATGGGAATATTAGGGGTAATTTTTTTCCAATGACTTATTGTTTGAGTAAGGAAAATGAGTCCTAGAGAAAGAAAGCTTTTTCCCCAAACCAGAGGATAACAGGTCTTTTGCTTTCTAAGCCTGTGTTTTATCCCTTTGGCATTCTGCCCACAACCCCTCCCATCCAAGACTTACAAGGTTTTAGTTTTGCTGTTTTGGAGGACTTGTACCAGAACTTCTTAGCTCAGATTTTGGTCATTTTTTCTGAATCCTTTCATTCAGACAACATACACATATCAAATATTAATTATGTAAGAACTATAAATCTAAACACTAGAAAATAACTTTGACTCTCATTATTTAAAGAAAATTGAAAACAGGAAAAAAATGAAGAGAGGAAAGTCTGACCATGCTGAATTTCTGAGTTTGATAGGATTTCTTTGTTCTAGATATTTCAGAAAATTATGATTATGAAATATTAGGATAAATATAATTATAATGATAAATAATAACTTGCTTCTGTAGAATGTGTTAGTCTCTTATTTGTTCCCCTCAAGACACCCTGTGAGATTGTTATTATTGTCTCCACTGTGCAGATGAGAAACTTTGAGATCATCCACCTTGGATGGTTACTTTTTACTATTTACCATTAGCCTCCCAGAAAACCCTCCTGCCCCACAATTTCTTCATTCCATTTTTTACTTCTGCATTTCTCAGTGTATAAATCAGGGGGCTTAGCATGGGGGTGATGATGGTATAAAACACAGCCACCATCTTATCCTCTGAAAGGGTAGTACCAGGATGCATATACATGAAAGTACAGGGACCAAAATAGATGACGACCACGGCAATGTGGGAGCCACAGGTGGAGAGAGCTTTGTGCTTGCCTTCTGCTGACTGCTTTCTCAGGAACACCAGGATGATGGTATAGGAGATTAGCAAAATGACAAAGCTCCCCAGAGCGATGGTACCACTGTTGGCTATCACAACACCAAGGACATATGTGTCTGTGCAGGTGAGTTTTAGCACTGGGTGAACATCGCTAAAGTAGTGGTCAATCTCATTGGGTCCACAAAAGGGTAGCTGGACTACCAGAGCCATTTGGATGATAGAGTGTAAGAACCCACCTATCCAAGTCCCCAGCTGCATTTTATTGCATCTGTCTCAGTCCATGATGGTCATATAGTGTAGGGATTTACAAATAGCCACATAACAATCATAGGCAGAAACTAAAGAAAACAATGAAAGAAACTGATGGAGTAGAGTTGCTTTACAGTGTTGTGTTCATTTCTGCTGTACAGCAAAGTGAATCAGACACACATATACATATCCCCTCTTTTGTGGATTCCCTTCCCATTTAGACCACCACAGAGCACTGACTAGAGCTCCTCATGCTATACATGAGGATTATCATTAGTTATCAATTTTATTCATAGCAATATACATATGCCAAACCCAATCTCCCAATTCAACCCTCTCTATATCCCCCGTTGGTATTCATGCTTTATTCTCTACAACCTTCACTCTATTTCTTCTTTGCAAATAAGTTCATCTATACCATTAAAAGAGCAGGATGGGTGGATACATTGTGATAAAGTCACACAATGGAATACTATTTTCCAGTCATAATGAGTGAACTCAAGTTACTCAACATGACAAATTTTCACAAAGACACATTGTAGAGTAAAAGCAGCCACCTACACAAAAAGTTGCTCTGTATGACTCTGTTATGTCAAACTTAAAAGGGATCAAATTTAAAAGAAACTGTTGGAGGCACATCAAGATGTGTTTGATTTAAATGGAGGGGAGGGAAATCTTACCTTCAAACTCAGTGTTTGAAGATTCCTCAGGAAATGCATTGCTTTGGTATTTTATATATTTATCTGTTAACATCAATAAATAAATAGATATGACTCATTCCTTAATCTCACTAGTCCTTCATATTTACTTGTAATGGATGACTCTCCAGCGGTGTAATGTCAGATACTCTGGTGAGGGCACTGCAGCATATGTACAAATAAGGGGCATGGGGAATACCTTTGATTAAAGCCTTTCTCAAGCTGTTTTTCAAGCCAAGGTACAGATGTATTAATAAATGATTCCTTTAGTTCTGGTTTGGGATAGGGTTACAGTGTCTTAGGTAATCATCAGGAATTTTATAGACCTGAGGACACATCCCCCAAAGATCTGTTAATTCCAACTGAACTCTGTGCTCTAAGGTATGTTTTGTAGGAATGTTGTTCCTGATGTGCATATTAGACTTGATAGCATAGTCATTCCAGTTGTGCCTTCTCTTCTACAGTAGAAATAATGATAAAAACTGTAATAGATATAATGACAACCCAATTCAGACTCAAACACATCCCTTAAAACTTTCTCATTTTGCAGGAGAGATAGCAGAAGCCCCATGAAGCTATGCAATGTATCTAGAGGTACAGCATCACTATCTTAAAATCAGATTTGCATAATTTTTATTTTCTTTCTCCTATACCACATCTCTCGATATGAGAGTTTTATATCAAATAGGGGTCCAAAAATTCATGTACACTCTCACTCTCCTTTTGTTTTTCCTCCTGAATTAAACAAAACATTTTATTCTCCACTCAGAGAGTCCTTCAGTTTAAGAGACCTCAAATCATAGCAGTTTTTGACAACTGTGAGTAATGTGACTTGGCTATCTTCTAAAAGAAACCGGTCATTTAAAATCAAGCCTGAGGATTGTGTCTCCATTGTCCATCCTATAAGGGCAAGGAGGAAATCTTTCTCCCAGAATCAAAATCTGCCTCAAAGAATTTCTTCCTCCACATTTTGAACATTTCAAACATACTAACACCTCATTTTCTTTTGAAAGTCAAGCATTTTCCTACTCAAATGTCATCAGCATCCATCTCATAGTCTGGTTTGCATGCACTTCATCATTTTATTATCATCTTAAAAATTTTACTCTCCCCCTATTTCTAAGAACATTGTCTTGCAATTATATTACAAGTATTCAAAATATAGAAATTTGATAAAATTCTCTCTTTTTCAGAAATCTTCAATGTTAATTTTAGAAGTGAAAAATCTCATCAGTATTGTCCAGAACTTGGCTTTTGCTATGTTTTTCTATCACTTCTGAGATAATTTGGATGCAACTTTTCAAAACAAAGTGAAGAGTGATGCCTTAAGAATTATTCATGAATAATTGGTTTCAGAGAATCCCTGAGTCCAGAAACTCAAAAACTGGTAGAATTTTGTTGTTCCTGGTCTGTCTCTCACCAACTGAAATCTGCCATTTTTCGGTACTGTTGGCAACAAATGCTGTTTTCTCTACTTGTACTTATACTCTTTCCTTTTCACTCATTCTTTCTTCACCTTCTTTCTCCTTCCTACTTTCATCTCACCTCCTTCTTCATTTATAATAAAATGTCAAAAAGCAATTAGTTCATACTTTTAGGGAAAACTTATGAGCTTCCCATTGCAGCTGATTTCTTTATCTCACTGAAGCTTTTAATAGACACTATGGATTTGTTTTCCAAGCAATTTGTAAACAAGACAGGGAAAGATGTACATATTCATCAAGTTTTCTCTCCCAAAGTTCACCACACAGTGGGCCATTTTTTCTGCAATTTCTGGCCATGTACTCTTCCTGTAGTTGTAGGAGAAAACAGAGTCCTGAGAGCACCAGGGACATTCATAGTAGCAGGAGGGAGTTTGATGGGAAACTTCTGAGCGTATTTAAGATCCACTCATGTCACCCAGTATATACCACCTTATCAGCAACAAGGAATCTCTGGGAAAGAATTCCAGGAAATTTTCAGTGTTTCTTTCACTTTCTGCCTTGTGTGTGTGTAAACTTTCTATTGCTATATGTTGGTAAACAGAGCTAAGTCAAAAATCAGTGGCTTACCACCACAAAATTTAATCCCCAAATTAGTAGTTTAAAAATTGTAACACCACAACTTAGAGGCTTAAAATAGAAACACTTTACTTGATTATAATTCTGCAGTTTTTCTTGAATTCACCTGGGTGGTTCTTCCACTGATGCTACCTGGCAGCACTCTGAAAGCCTGAATGGAGTAGCTGCTCCAAGATGGCCTCGTTCATGTGCCTTCCAGTCAGCTTAGGCACCTCCGCTCTCATTCTCCAGTAGCACCTACAGGGCTCTCTTACACCGTGGCTGTTTCAGGGCAGAAGTTGTTTCACAAAAGTTAAACCTTCAAGGTCTCTCTACCTAAGCTTCAGGAATCATACAATATCACTTTTTTCCACATTCTGCTCATGTATTTAAAACTTTATATGTAATACTGTTACTGAGGGATTCCCAGAAGGCTCACTAGTAAAATAATTCACCTGCCAATGTTGGAGACAGAGATGTAGGTCTGATCTTGGGTCTGAAAGATCCTCTGGAGGAGGAAATGGCAACACACTCCAGTATTTTTGCCTGTTAAATCCCATGGACAGAGGAGCCTGGTGGGCTAGTCTAGGAGTCACAAAGGGTTGGTCATGACTAAGCTTGCAAACATTTTTACTGACCCTTTGAGTCAGACTCCAACAGGGATTTCCTTGTCCTTGTTGTTCAAGCCAATAGAGTGAGAGTAGCTCAGTTCAGAAGCAAGGAAGGGAAACTGTGTTCTTCGAGCAAAGAATGAGAGGAATGAGCTGGCTCCAGAGCAGCGGTCCCCAGCCTCTTGGATCTGAGATGGAGTTGATGTAATAATAGAAATAAAGTGCAAATAAGTGCAATGTGTTTGAATTATTTGGAAACCATCCCCTAGTTCCCAATCCCATTGTTTATGGAAAAACTGTCTTCCATGAAGGTGCTCCCTGGTGCCAAAAGATTTTGGGAACCACTGCTAGAGCACAGTATCTCCCTGACAGACAGGCTGTGGGCAGGGCTGCTGAGGCTGCCAGTATAGAGGAGGTGGAGTTCTCGCGGGAATATCAGATGTGTTGCTCCGCTTGTACTCAACTGGCCGCCACCATCTTGAATCTCTGAGTTGTGCTTGGTCCTTCAGCCTACATCCTTGAGTGGAGCCGGCACAGCCCTTCAGCAGAGGAACTCTGGTCTGAAGCACCAGCAGGAGGCTTCTGCACTTGGCAGCCTGTGAGCAAGAGAAACCAGATGAAACACAAAGGAAAAGAGAAAGGTTAGTTTTGTTTTATTTTTTTTTTAACTCTGCTTCTAATGTTATTACCAGGGACTTAGTAATGGGCTTTGCTGTCTGGCAAAGCCTCTGTCTGGCTTCTTACTCTCGAGGGATGTGGAGGGGTGATGGTCTGTCTCTGTAATTGTTTCCTGCTGATTTCAGGCATCATCATAGCCCTGTGCAAAGGAGCAGAGTTTCCCCTCAGCCGCCATTAGGTATGTTCGGTTATTCCCAAGCTTCAGTCCTAAACGTTCATCTTCATGAGATGAACCCCAGTTTTCTAAGCTTTTGGAGGAAACGGACACTCGACACTTTCAGATACATGAAAGAGTAAAAGTATCTAGCTTTGCCTGTGGGCAAATATGCCCTGATGTCCAGCTTCACTGGCCGGATCCGGATGTATCTTTGGTTGTTTTTTGGAAGAGAAGCTTCAGGTCAAAGAGGTTCACAGGGTAGTCAAGGAGGCCATTGTCGTAGGTCGTTTCTCTGGAGGTTGAGGCTTGGGATCCCCCTTCACTTGAGTACAATGACCCCATGAAGTGATCACAGCAACTTCAGCATGGACTGTGTGGTTAGGATCACCAAGTGGGGTTGTTCTACCTAGAAGTGAGCTGGTCTTGCAAGTTGCTGGTTTTCTTGGTTTTTAGATGCCCCCAGGCTTCTGGCCAGAAGAGATAGTGGGCCAAGTCAGGACAGCACCTAGTTACCATGTTTTGTGAGAGCTTTCACAGATTCTTCAACCTGGAGGACACACTGGAACTGTTCCATTTCAAGGTATTTAGGGTGTCCATTCACTCAGGCTAGAGGAGTGTGTCTACAATATAAGAGCTCAAATGCGTTTAACTTAACTTATCCCTTGGGGCTAAACGCATGCAAAGAAGGGCAGTCAGAAGCAAATTAATTCAGCTTTAGTTCTTTCTTTTTTGTTTTAGATTTATTGAGGTATAGGTGATTTACAATGTTGGGTTAATTTCTGCGGTATAGCAAAGTGATTTAGTTATACATATATATTCAGTTGAAATATATATATATGTATATACATATATATATATATATGTGTATATATATATATATATATAAAATGCACTATATGGGTGTAGGATGGCATGCATAAACCAGTTTATTGTGTTTATCAAGACCCCATGGACTGTAGCCTGCCAGGCTCCTCTGTCCATCGGATTTTCCAGGCAAGAACCCACTGAAATGGGTTGCCATTTCCTTCTCTAGGGGTACTCCCAGACCCAGAAATAAAACCTCTGTTGCCTGAACTGTTGGCAGATTCTTTACTGCTGAGCCACCCACATATATACCAAGAATATGAATAAATATTTAAATTGTCCCCTGTCCCAGGCTCTAAGGTTCCGTTAAGGGTATCAGCTCCACCATTTGGACAGAAGTCCTTGTGGGTAGCCTTTTTGCTTCTCTGACTTGGGTCTGGAAGGTTACTGCATATTCCACCAGCCTTTTTCCTTTTGTAAACCTGTTCCCATCTGGGAACCATCCCTCTTTGGAGTTTGGAGGAGGCTCATTTCCTATATCAGGACAACTAGAATAGATCATGCCTTTGGTCTGTATACAATCATGCTCCAGGTGCCCTATTTCTGTGGGTAGCAGGGTGGCAAGATTTAGCTTGTGACAATTTTTTTGTGTGTGACTTTTTTTTTTTCTTGGTAGCCACTAGAATGTCTGAAAGTGTAGCCTGAATATGAGTCAGCCTTCTGGGGGATATAGCCCTCCTGTTCCCTTAAAATTGACTAAAGCCTGAACCTGATGTGGAGCCCATATAGTGACTGGTTAATCAAGTGTTAACTTTTCAACCTCCTCTAGCAGAGTTGTGAGAGCAGCTACTCCTAAGCATGGAGGCCACCCCACTAAGGAACCCTATGGACTATAACCTGCCAGGCTCCTCTGTTCATGGGGTTCTCCAGGCAAGAGTACTGGAGTGGGTTGCCATGCCCTCCTCCAGGGGATCTTCCTGAACCAGGGACTGAACACACATCTCTTACATCTCCTACATTGACAGGTGGGTTCTTCACTACTAGCACCACCTGGGAAGTCCATTTATCTATATTTTTGGCTCTGCCAGGTCTTAGCCTCAGCATTGGCATATAGTCCCCTCACCAGGGATCAAGCCCACACCTTCTGCATTGAGAGTGTGAAGTATTAGTCATTGGACTAGGGAAAGACTTGCTGGGCCCATCATTTTTCATCTATTTGAACCTCAGCTTTTGAGGGTCGTGGCCAGGACCTGCTGTTTCTGACCCTTGGAGAGCATTCTTTCTCCTAGTGTCCCTCTTGTTGGCATGGTGCACTGCTGGGTCCTGGTTTGCTCTCCCTCAGAAGGAGCAGGGGTCAGTTGCCTTTACTGGAGCCAAGAATCTCTGTGGGCATTAGTGTAGATTCCTGTGCTGACCAGTTGACACTAGAGGGCAACAGTCAGTGGGAAGACTTGAGTGTGGGCGTTTTTCTGTCTCTGACATTTCTTCCTCTATATTTTGGTTAAAACACCAGGTAGTCACTGCATTCCCTTCCAATGTCTCAGGGTTAGTGGCAGTATAAATTCAGATGCCTTCCCTGTGGTGCTCTAGGAATGATGAAGGATTTTCTGTAGGCTCCTGATTTTCTTCATCTTATTCCAAATGACAGGTTTATTTCCTGCTGCCTGCATTCCCTTTAAGATAATACTTTTATAATGGGCCAACCTCCTCTTCATTGTCACTGTAGTCCCAGTTGGGTTTGTTATCTGGACCACTTGATTCCAAGGTCTGAAAACAGTGTGACTTGCATTCTGTTCTCTTTACCTGCTTCTTCTTGGGCTTAAAACAAACCAACAGCAGCAGCAACAAAAACACCATTTGCTCCCCCATTAGGAAAATATTAAGAAAGATCTGGGTGTCAGTCCAGGTGGAGTCATGGGTCTGAAAGACTCACCTAATCAGATTCTCATCTCACACAATTGCAAAGTAATGCTCAAAATTCTCCAAGTAAGGCTTCAACAGTACATGAACCGAGAACTTCCAGATGTTCAAGCTGGATTTAGAAAAGGCAGAGGAACCAGAGATCAAATTGCCAACATCTGTTGGATCATTGAGAAAGCAAGAGGGTTCCAGAAAAACATCTGCTTTATTGACTATGCCAAAGTCTTTGATTGTGTAGATCACAACAAACTGGAAAATTCTTAAAAGAGATAGGGATACCAGGCCACCTGACCTGTCTCCTGAGAAATCTGTATGCAGGTCAAGAAGCAGTGGTTACAAATGGACATGGAAAAATGGACTGGTTCCAAATTGGGAAAGGAGTACATCAAGCTTGTGTATCGTTAGCCTGTTTACTTAACTTATATGAGATTTCATCATGTGAAATGCCAGGTTGGATGAAGCAAAAGCTGGAATCAAGATTGCCAGGAGAAAGAGCAATAACCTCAGATATGCAGATGACACCACCCTGATGTCAGAAAACAAAGAGGAACTCAAGAACCTCTTGATGAAGGTGAAAGAGTGGAGTGAAAAAACTGGCTTAAAACTCAACATTCAAAAAACAAAGATCATGGTTTCCAGTTCTATCACTTCATGGCAAATAGATGGGGAAACAGTGGGAACAGTGAGACTATTTTGTTGGGCTCCAAAATCACTGCAGATGGTGACTGCAGCCATGAAATCAAAAAGTGCTTGCTTCTTTGAAGAAAAGTTATGACCAATCTAGACAGCATATTAAAAGCAGAGACATTCCTTACCACAAAGATCTGTCTAGTCAAAGCTATGTTTTTTCCAGTAGTCAGTAACGGATGTGAGAATTGGACTAGAAAGAAAACTGAACACCAAAGAATTGATGCTTTTGAACTGTGGTGTTGAAGACTTTTGAGAGTCCCTTGGACTGCAAGGAGATCAAACTAATCAGTCCTAAAGAAAATCAGTCCTGAATATTCTTTGGAAAGAGTTATGCTGAAACTGAAGCTCCAATACTTTGGCCACCTGATGCAAAGAACTGGCTCTTTGGAAGAGACCCAGATGCTGAGAAAGATTGAAGGCCAAAGGAGAAGGGGATGGCAGAGGATGAGATGGTTGAATGGCATCACTGACTAGATGGACATGAGTTTATGCAAGCTCTGGGATTTGGTGATGAACAGGAAAACCTGGCATGCTGCAGTCCATGGGGCTGCAAAGAGTCAGATATAATGAAGTGACTGAATGGAATTGAGGGGCCAAATTTCCACATCTCCCAACTAGTATTGGTCCAAGCTATATTGCATAGGAAGATGAAGGTGAAATGCTTTTAAATGCTGCAGTTTACTTTTAAGGTAATTGTTAAATTTTTTGAATTTCACTTGATCTTATTGCAGTTTACTTTTGCTTTGTTCCCTTTATAACTTTCTTTCCTGTATTCTTTTCAGTTTAGTAGGTGTTTTTGTCTACCATTAAATTCTATCTTCTCCATTTACATATTTTTAAACAGATTTTATTTTTTTAAAGTAGGTTTATGTCTGTAGCAGAATTGAGGAAAAGATACAGATCATCCATATACTTCCCTGCCTCACTCATGCTTTGCCTGTTCCATTGTTTTTAATATTTATTTTATGTATTTATTTATTCAACTGCACTGGATCTTATCTGAGGCATGTGGAATCTTTAGCTGTGGCATGAAAATTCTTTGCTTAGCTGCAGAACATGTAATCCAGCTCCCTGACTATGGATTGAACTCAGGGCCCCTGCATTGGAAATGTTGAGGCTTAACCACTGGACCATAAGGGAAGTCCTGCCCTCCATGTTGTTAACCTCCCACAAAAGTGATGTATTTGTTCAATTGATGAACTTAAGTTGACACATCATTATCACCCAAAGTCCAGAGTTTACATTAGACTTCACTCTTGGTGATGTACATCATATGGGTTGACAAACGTACAATGATGTTTATCTATCATTATAGTACCACTCAGATGGTTTCACTGTTCTAAATGT